CCTCTCCTTAGCAGTACCTACAAGGAAGCTTGATGCGAAGTGCTTCGTGCGTGTGGGTGGAATATTTACCATGAATCCGTGACGCTTCGCCGATTGTCTTATGCTACGATGATGGATGATTTTTATTACTACTATACTACAAGATATACAATAGGGTAGTTTCATAAATTTTATTTTAATGTCCGTCTGGTACATACATTAATTTAAAACTTTAGACACGTATTTTTTCTTTTCTCACAAAATTAAACACTTTCGAAGATATATTAATTTAAAATATCGGTGACGTCAGAGCGTGTCACGTTTTGTAGCACGTTATGACGTAACGACCTCCCGCTCCTAAACTTAGTGCCATTATATCTAAGTATTGCAACTTGATACGAGAAAGTAATAATAATAATAATAATCTTTATTGTACACCAATTTGAGACAGTATATCCAGGAAAAAAGAAAGTAAAAAATACGTGTCTAATATTTTTTCGTTATCTAACCGACGGACTAATTTGATTTTTAATTTTGATACCCTGGATACTACCCAATTTAGTAAATGCATTACATTTACTGACATCGTAAAAAATAACATAATTTGGAAAAACGTTTTTATTTTTCATAGGCACACTGTAATATTCCAAAGATGTTTCTTGGTCAATCATGAAGAAAGGTAATATATACTTCAGACTAGTTTCCACATATTTGTGGCTTTATCTTTAAACGGATTGGTGTTGGCTGGTTTTTTTTTAAACTCAATGACAAATAAATTATTCGTTCACACTTTCACATGCCGTGTTACAATTACTTTGCGATAAGCAATTAAAAATAAAGACTATTATTATCATATTGTCTATGTAACTAGGCTTGAACGTTTGCATGAAAAAGTGATCATTAGTTTTGTTACTTTGGTTTTTACTTAGCTATAATAGGCAAACAATAAGCTTGGCCTATTCTTAGTCCTAAAGGTGTAAGCATAATTTCGTTATCAGTTCTATTGTAAAAAGGTGGCGCCATACACAATCCCTGGACCGTAGTAGTTTAGTCAGAATCTCAAAATTACTGTTGCCAGCGGTTATTGTCTGCTATTACAATAGTTGCTATTCCAAACCAAACCAGGCCTTATTCTATTATTACAATAGTTGCAAATTTGTATATCACTGATTCCATAATTACAGATGTTAACAAGTTTTGTTTTTTATTTTGACAAATTGTAATTATAAGTCTTATTACATTTAGTTTATGACCTAAATCTTTACAGTTATCGAGTTCATGACTAATGTTTTGTACCTCACAGAGATATTCTAAGAAAACATCTTAAGGAATTACGTATTATAATGAACGCGTACGTACGTACGTACATATAATGTATCTACGTATATATACCTACCTATATTGTAGACTAGTATTGAAATATTTCATACATCCATGTAAATACGAACGGAGTCAACAGGAAAATTGAGTGAATCTCCTATATTTATTATTTATTAAGTATGTGTTATACCTTAATATGAGCTTATAAGCGTTTTTTGGGGATAACCCAACAACCAATAACCTATTTTTATTATAAGCACACATAATAATTATAAACAGTTAATAAGATTTGTTACTCTGTTTGTGTGTGTGTGTGTGTTATACTTCGAAACTACTGGACCGATCCGGAAACTAATCCACTATCAGAAAGCTTACTTTTCAGGGAGTAAAATTATGTACTTTTTATCGCGATATTCCTATAGCATTCGGACCTGGAATAATAAATATTTGTTTCATACATGTTTTGGGAAATTCTAGCCTCTTATTTAGAAAGGAAAACATAAGTGTTTATAAAATTAAACAATGGTTATTCATTTGTTTGTGTGTTATTTAGATATGTTACAGCCTCATGAATGTGCCACTTATTTAGTTTGAATAATAGCTCTGTTCTCACGAAAGGCTGCGGTTATTATAATACCTACCTATAATTTAATATTACTTATTAAGAAAATACCACGTGCTTGAAACCACAAAGAAATTAAAACAGCGTGAATATTAAAAATGGATTTACTAATTTAAATTCAAAAATGGATAAGCAAAGCTTGCCAACGTAATTATTTCATGCCATGGAACTGAGATGTTAATGCATTTATTCATAGAAATAGTTTCGAAATGAATTACTTTTGCCAAACAAGCCAGCCCTTGCATCCTCGCGAGTGTCCTCCGTGTCGATATATTTAATTAATGGAATGTAGCCAAATATTCTACATGTGTAACAGACATAATTTTATTTTAAAATTACGTGTCAACGTCAGCAATTAATTTTATTAACATAGACTTTAATTACTTTTCTGAAGCATTGAAGCCTTGTCTAAACTTGAGTACTAATATCATAAAGAGAAAAAGTTTCCGATTTGTTTGTTTGCATGAGGCTTTGAAACTACTAGACCGATTTGTTCTTTCACCATAAGAAAGATCTAAGGTTCCATAGAATCTACCCGAAGTAATTTTTTTTAAACTGTCAAACACCGCGCGGTCGCCGGTGACCGGAACCTATTGTTCTTTAACTCGTCGAGTACCGTCAATACAGACACAATTATAGAACAATAGGTTGCGGTCACCGGTGACCGCTTGGGGTTTGACAGTTTAATTGTGTCTATAATGACGGTACTCAATGAGTTAAATTATTTTAAATTCCGCGCGAATTAAACCGCAAGCGGAAAACTAGTTGTGTCTAATATTAACATTCTATTTACTTTTATTAGTCATTCAATGACCCTCAGATTTGTAGGTACTTTCACTACGGTACGTTTTTGCGCTCCAACGTTTTCTGCAACGCAAAAAACATCGGACCGTGTCCTTGAAGGCGCTTCGTGTTAATCATTTGACCTTCGTACTTTAGATGTTCAAGATCATATGAGGAAGAATTAGTGGCAATTAAATTGTTTTGTCCATATACCATAACAAGATCAATTTCCTACGGGTTAGTCCAAAAATTGGAACATACAATATTTTTTCATTAATCCTTGCAACCTTCAATTATTAATCTATTTTAGTAACAATATTTAAACATACTAGACTTAAGTTATACCAGCTAGCTATATTCAACGTTTTTAATTCAATTTCGAAACCTTGTTATGGGCTATTGGGCCACATTGAAAAATACCACGTGGGTTGTTTTATGGTAGAGGGACCTTACTGCGAGTAAGATGCATCAGGCACTAACTAGTTATAATTCACCTAAATTTAGAACTGCATACGAATTTCCTAAGCAGCTAGCCAAATTACTCAATTAATCTAGTCATCCAGTTCTCCAAAATAAATAATAGTTTTAATTGAATGCTGGTTCGTTTTGATCCTTTTTCTAAGTGGTCACTGCTGACTGACCTAAGGCCTCTTCTCGCACTGAGAAGGTTTCAGCATTAATCACTACGCTTGCTCAAAGCTGGTTGGCTATTTCAAACTTATAATTAAAAATTAAAGTCCAGGTTTCCTCACGGTGTTTTCCTTCACAATCAGTCGGTGGTGTATAAATAATATCTTAAAAAATACATATAATGTCACATTGGTATTTTCCGTTGGTGGGTTTCGAACCCGAGCGCTCGTGCATAAGAATTAAACTTCCACCACAACCTGAGACTTACGAACTGTTTTTTATCTATATAAATTGTCTTAAAAAGTAGTATCAATGCGCTTGGCAATTTGGATTGTTTTACATGCTATTACAACAAGTTATGTGTCCAAGGACTTATAGTAATTAACAAAACAAGTGTAGGTATTTAGCTCTATATAATTCAGTATGACTTAAACAGACATGGCGACCATAAACATGTAACTAACATTAGGGTCTGTCCCTGAAAACAAATTACTTTTTGAACAAAAAATGGCCTAAACCAAAGTTTCCAAACACATGTAGGAAGGGATGCAAAATCAATATAACTTGAAAAACCCATATACCTTCCATATGTATGAGTAAATCAACATATTGGCAACTTAAACAGAAAAAATCTAATACACGGAGATTAAAGACTGAAGCTTAATGAAATGTAGGAGCTGTCTCATGTTATCATGTTTATCATAAAAGAAGAAATTGAAAATTCTTTGAAACATACTAGCATCATAGGATTTGAGAAAACATTTATTATCTTGGAAGTTATTTTGGGTCGGTGATGCTGTCGGATTTGCTGAGAAGTGGTATTAGTGTCGTACGCAAGTGTCGCATTGGACGGTGACATCTCGATCTATGTCAGATCACGTCATGCAATCGATGCACTACCTTGACTCGTGGTAAAGGTACTGTTCTCCAAGTCTTCCGCTGACTCACATAACTCTAATTTTGAAAATATTTTGTACAGTAGGCTGTTTTGGATGTGACGATTGAAATTGAAATGATTGCACGCTTTCAACGAGTGATTTTGTTGTATTTGTACTTGATTGCTAATGGGCTATTAATCGATTTCTCGTTCCTATAATCCATCAGTTTGGATAGTTAAACTAAATGTAGGTACCATCTTCTTTGCCCAACTTTAAGTTAGTTAATTAAAGGTACTTTGCAAATGACTTTATTAATTTGTTCAATACATGTTTCATATAAAAGTTGTGCCAACATTATTTTACCTTTAGTTTACCACCTAAACCCTACTAGTATTGATTTATTTACTTGAACAGAGAGCCTTTGTGTTATTTTTTTGCGTTCAAGTAATAAGTTCTATTAATATAAACGTATTTAAAGGTTCATCTTTCTGATACTTAGATGGCTTCGAATTATTTATATTAAAACGGAGAAAAGTAGAGTGTATTTATTTAATACAAAACCTATTAATTATATAGGCAGAGAACTAGACAGAGCCGATTATCAGTGGACAAGAGTCGTTTATAAAACTAGTCTCGTGCATCGCACGGGTCTAACGTTTGTCAGTGTTATTTTCGTAGTATATAGTCTATAAATAAACGAGTATTAACAAATATTCGGAGTGCGGAGAGCAGGGCAGTGTCGGCAGCGTGGTTGCAGTCGCAGCGCGCGGCGTCACCCGCGTGTCTCGCCGCGTTATCGACCTTCTTCTTATCTTTACAAGAACTACTCCACCGCCCGATAAACAAGGAGCAAAAGCGTGCGCCCGCGCCGTTTCGCCTCATTCCATTCCGCTTGGAGCGTTGCGATTAGTTCGTTCGCGTCTTTATCGTACGGTTTCGTTCAGTTGCTCACTCGTCGCCGTCGCGATACCACGACACTCACGCGTTCGTCTCGCGATTATGAAAAAGCAAGGCACCGCCAACAAATAAACCATCAACATGAAGCCCAATCGGTTATAACGTTTCGTTTACAAAACCATTTAATTTAATCGAATATATTTATAATTATTGTGATATTTAGTTAGTTCTCCGTATTTTTAATATTTATATTCGTTACGATGAATTCATTTTACTTTATTTAATATTATTATTTTTAATATATAAAGTAAATTCAGTGCTCAAGTTAATCTCATTCCAAATCGCGCAATAATTAACTAGAAGTCTTTGCTACAAGAATTGCGATGACAGCCAAAACCCGCTCACATTGGAAGGAATATGGAACAGCACTTTGTGGTGAGTAGAGTTCATTTTCTAACCTATCATTGTATCGCATGCGTCGGCCATGTGTCCGTGTGACCGGTGGCCGCGGTGCTCAGCCGCGGTGGTGACGTAAATACTCATATATATTATACTTAATTACCCGTAAACACCCGCTTAATCCATATCATTTTCATTTTGTTCAAGCCCAGCTTATCCCAGAGTTTCGCTCTTGTAACAAGTCTATAAAATTTTGTGAAAGCTACGGATGCATGATTTCACCTACCACGACATGATATCCAAGTTAACGCAGTAAGCTATTTTTAATGTAGCATCATGTAGTTCTGTAGTAGTGCCAACCCATTATGTACCATGCTGACAACAATGACTCTACCAAATGTCACACGATCATATCGATGACGGCGACACTAGTCTGTATCACCAAACGCTTGTAAACTTAAACACATTCCCATTACCGTTGGCATTTTATGTACTTACATGTACCACGTAACACATAAATGTCTGCGTATTCTGTAACACGTATTGCCTTTTATTTAAACCAGAACTTGCAATGCGCGTCGAGTTTTTCTCGAGGACAATTTGGTACAAGTAGTAATCTAGGCGCACGTGCTGCCCTCAACATTCTTTCCATACGGTGTGAAGATTTCAGCTGTAAAACCCCTCATATTGAAATTTTCCAAGTGTACACTCAATTGCATCTGTGTAGAATATTTAATGATCAGGATAAACATGGCGTAGACTTATCTGAAATATCTATTTACGGTTATGCAATAATCACATCTAAGGATATATATTTAAGTCTTAAAACATGTACAGGATGTCTAATATCCTACTAATGGTGTGTTTACTTTACGTATATTAACATTCTGTGTTCGTGGTAGTTATTTCTAAACTTAGCTAAGTTCCTCGTAGAGGAAAATCATTAAATAACAGCGTAAGTAGATAAAGTTCTTTATGTTAATGGTAGGATGATGAATTATGGTGATGGTCGCTCGAGGAGCATTAGTTTTCCTCCTCCATTACATACGATTTTTTTCTTGAATACTCCATAAAATTGACTATATGTGTGTAAGTGTCACTTGATCACTAACTCGCCACAACAAAACCTTAGGTTAATGGGTTATCTATCTGCTATTACGTCTGTGTAATTTAAAATATCGTAAAAATATGAAATCATTGCCTGTCCGACAGGAGTTATTTGCCAATCTTGTTAAAGTATAAGCATCCATTCTTTATGGACAAGTGAGAAATGACCACAGAAATGGATCATCAATCATCGCTTCTAATATTTGTAGGATTGCTGAAATTTGAAAGTGAATCCGTGGTAATGTTTGAAAAAACAAATATGTTTACTCGGTCTTGGGTTAACGAACTGCCAGAAAACATTTTAAGAATAATTTGAAACAAATATGAAATGAATAATATGATCATATATCTAATTATGATTCTTGTATCTCTCCTCGCCTTACAAGTGCGTCGTGAAATCGTGAAAGCGCTGCCAAAGTCGCTGTTTCTTCTTGCTACCGAATGATTTATTGCTCATTAAATGTAATAATACTATAACAACATACACATCTTACTTATTAACAAAAATGTTCATTAAAAATTGTATGAACAGGTAACAAAAAAGAATAAGCCCAAATCGTCACTAATGGAGAGTTTAAAAAAATACTCCGACATTTTTTTTGACGAATTCTTTCACTAGATATTTGTTTGCTGACTATTATCACCCTTAGCTTTTATCTTCATTGGGGAATTCGATTGATTCTAAGAATGCAAAGGTTCAGGTAAAAAGGGGCTGGTTGAAGTTTAGTGCGGCTCTATTGTTATTAGAAACCCGAGGAAAAAACGTTAAGTATCTTGCAGTTGTAGGCGCTTCATATCTATTAGATAATCAGTCATTTACATACTTGTTACATTTGCTATAAGGAAATGTAAATACTAAAACATGATTCGAATTATCTCGTTCAGTATCCACATCTATCAGCACCTTATCTCGTCACACTTTTTACCTAGAAAACAATACACCGACTGTTCTGTTTAGTTCGACCTTTACACCGTTATTATATTGTCGCAAACAGGTAAATAAAACTGAAACACCGCTATTAATTTGCAACTAGGTACTTCTATTAAAAATGCAAGAGAATAATCCCAGATATTATCTTGCTTAGTTATTATAGTTAGTTTCCGCTGAATAAAACTTACGACTTAAGAAATGTTCAAGTGGAATACCCAGTATATTAATATAATTGTGTGTTACGGGTTTTCCTGTCATCATCAAGTGCTATAGGTTACAAAACTAATGAACTGAGAAGTAATTCATTTGGAAATAAATCTGTTTCAATTTTAGCAAATTCGAAAATAATTACTAAAATACTTAAAATATTCATTTCAAACTAATTAGTTGGAATTTATAAATACATTTTAATTTAAACGAAAATCTTAGAGAACATTAAATCTATTAATAGTTACAAAATTAATCTCACCAAATTATTTAGGTTGTTATCGAAATACCTAATTAATGATCTAAAGATCCTTACAATGTTGTCTGTCAATCAAGATTGAAGTAATCCTATTTATGTATTGGCGTATATAAACAATTCAGTGTAATTACTGATTACAAATACAGTGCTATCCTGTTGGCTGATTTGCGTCAGCAGATAAAATGGAATCTTTATATACATGATGTGCCATTTTTTGAAATGTTCCTCATAAACTGCCTTTATTTATTGTGAGATACCAATCGAGCCAAAACTTAATCATTTTACTATTTGGGACGATTATCTAAAACAATGAATAGTATGACAATAGGATTGTGTAAAACTCCGATTATTAACGTTTAATAACAGATTAATGAATGAAACAATTACATTAATTGTAAGCAGATTAAAGATTGGTAGCCATGAAAGCATTAAAAGTCGATAAATCGACCCTTATTGTAGTAACTTCATGGTCGATTTCTCACGCCATGTAAAAATTGAACTTTTGTAGACCTAGGCCAATGCGACTAATATCCCGTAATTGCATTTAAGAGAGAACAAGTTAAGCATAATATCAGTTAACAATTAAAAGTATTGAGACACTAATCATTGATTTGTTTTGTAATAACAGATATTATTAAAAAACACTGACTCGATTCTTTCTGACCACTGACTCACCACGTGGTCTTTGTTTAAAGAAAACAAATTGCATTGTGTCATAACTTCGAAATTATAACACGATATGTTATTGTATTTTTTACTAATTACAGTGCAACATTTATATTCATTGTTATCGTTTGGTGACGACAGAACCGTATACATTTGTCGCCATCCCTATTCCTCCTACGAATGTCGTAATAGTAGACGAATATGGAGTTTTTTTTTCTCATTCTCCACCATAAGAATCTATACTTTGGAACGAGAAAATAGCTTCAGTAGAGGACTGATTGAGACGGACATTGTTTTTTATTTTACATTTTGTTTTAACGTGAACTGCCTTCCTAGTCTAATTCAAATAAATGGTTTTGACGTTGACTAAACGACATACACATTTAGCAGAAACCAGGCAGCAGCTCTGTCTGACCTGAACCTCTTTGATAATGACCTTCGACCCGACTCCCAACCGTGGAGGTAATGGCAAACCCCTAAATGTAGACGAAGCCCAGAGTCCAGCAATGGACTGCCTCTTTGCAAGAACGCTGAGAAATCTCACGAAGCAAGTTTCATAAAGGTTTTTAGAGGAACTTGTGAATTTCACCTAACTTCGTAACCTCAGTATCGTTAACAATTAGCGCTTCCTTCTAGTTTATTTTCACCGTCCATAGACTACAATGTATTGTAAGGAATTTTCATTATCAACACATTAGTGGTCGAGATATTTAAGTTGACCTGTCATACTCGTATCTCTACACAATATTTTGTCTTTTAACAGCCTCTGATATGAAGATAAATTATTATTACATAACAACAAATGTTATATCCATCTGTATTTAATCGATTTAATTAGATTTTATCCAATTACTTACCGTTACCTAATAATAGTGCAATAATTACAAATTATAATTGGTAATTAGTAATAGCACATTATTTTTATATTAGAAGAGATAAATATTACAATTTTATGTAAGAATTCCCATTCTTAACTAAAGCCTTGAACTTTACTCAAATACAATCATTGGCAAACTGAATACCCCACCATAATATGTGAATCATTGTTAAATTAATGACGTCACTCCTTCCCTCTATATCAATTGCATTTAAATTTCGAATCCTACCCCACCATATTGTTTATGGCATATAAACACGCAAAGGAGGTAGAGTTCTTATGCAAAATGATTCGAAGCTAGAAAATAGCGGGGAATTTATTACATACTCAGGTATTCAATTCCAGTTAAACGCGAATGTCATTGACATTCGATAGCTTAGAGTTGTATTTGCGATTTTCTGAATCCACTGTCGTAGAGAGAGTGGTGGAAACGTCCGTCCGTGTTTATAAACAATAGCCAGCCAACGTATGTTCCACTTCAAAGACAAATTCTTGGAATCATCCACACGTATTCAAGCATACAATGTCTGTCTCTGTGTCCCTTTTTTCTCAAAGATCAGACCCACCCACGTTCCAGTGTGACGTCATCGCTATATTTTGGGTGATGACTCACACATTGAGTGAAAACTGAACGAGTTTTGTACAATCTTCTAAATGATGAATGGATGCATTTATTGATGATTGGTTTATTTATAATCTTCGTATGACCATCATTGATCACGTGCGAAATATTTGGGCAGGCAAATAATTATTACGACCTGCCATTTATTTATTTTTTATTAACACTAATACGATAGCATAAGTTTGGTTCTTCGGTGGAAACGGTCTGATGTTATGTTGTTTATATCCAGAAACAAAATTTGGCACACTCTAATAAAAAGATTAGTGTCCTGCAATCGTTTATCAAAATTATTAATTGCATTCGGGAAAGTAAAATGGCATTTTTGCAGTTTTTATATAACATGTCGCCACAGTCATAATACTTTACA